TCTCTCCTTGTGAAAGAGGAATGTGTAATAGAAAAAAAAAAGGCAGTAAGAGAGATGGGAATTACTAAAAAATGTTCTTTGTGGATTACACCATTGGATTCAGTGGCTATGTCATCAGACCTTTCAATTTACAAAGCCCTGACAACAGTAAGTGTGCAAAATTTGTAAGGGCTGGATCTATGGGAAAATAATGGGTTTATTTACCTTTGAAGTACCCACTGTTCCATTCATGTGGATACCAATTATGTCTGAGCACTGTCTTCAAAAGCTATCTAGCTTCTACAGCTCTTATTTTCTTCCAATCTCAAAACCCTATATTCTTTACACTTGAAGACCTCCTATAGAATGAAGGGTCTAACTTAAAGCAAAAGGTAAAGATATCCAATGGAAAAAGTCAAAGTAATGATTTTATTATCTCTTTCCAGTGACCTCTCTTTTTCCTTCTGGGGCCACCAAGAATAGAATAAATTAAAACTCTGGAGTCTATGACATCTGTATGTTAAAACAGACTTGCAGCTATAGATTAGGAAAAACTCACTGTATTATTTAATGAAATGCTATAATCCCATCTAAATTTTCCATATAGCACCATGTTAACTGTATGTCTATAGGCTAGCACAGATTTCAGTTCCACAACAGTAAGGTTTAAATTACTATGAACAAAAATTAAATAAATCCCATAAAAGGTAGTAAGGAAACAAATTAACAGAGGTCAGGTTGAGTGGCTATGATGCCCTATAAAACTACAAGGTTAATCAAGGAAATAAAAACTTTAGTACATTTTATTTTTTATTTATTTATTTTTTAAAGATTTTATTTATTTGACAGAGAGAGATCACAAGTAGACGGAGAGGCAGGCAGAGAGAGAGAGAGAGAGAGAAGCAGGCTCCCTGCTGAGCAGAGAGCCCGATGCGGGACTCGATCCCAGGACCCTGAGATCATGACCTGAGCCGAAGGCAGCGGCTTAACCCACTGAGCCACCCAGGCGCCCCAAACTTTAGTACATTAAAAGTGAATCAGCCCAAAAGAATTGAAGACAGCTCTATTCACAATACCGAAATGTGGAAACAACCCAAATGTCCATCAACTGATGATTGGATAAACAAAAATGTAGTCCCTCCGTACAGTGAAATGCCACTCAGCCAGAAAAAGGAGGGAAGTGCTGTCCACGTTGCAGCATGGAAACCACATGCTACATGATCCAAGTGGATCAAGTACTGATCCAAGGTGTAGCATGCACACCTTGGAAAACGTTATGCTGAGTGAAAGAAGCCAGACACAAAAGGCCACATATTGTGTGGTTCCGGAAATATCCGGAACAGGCAAATTCAGAGAGACAGTCAGCGGATTAGTGGATTCAGTGCCAGGAGCTGGGGAGAGGAGAATGGGGGGGTATGGAACAGTGGGGAATAACTGCTTGAAAGGTACAGGATTTCCTTTTGGGTGATTAAAATGCTCTGGAACTAAACAGTGGTGATGGCTGCACAATGTTATTGATGTCCTTAATGCCACGGAATCATATACTTTAAAATGGCTGAAACGGTGATTTTTATGTTATGCGAATTTTACCACTTTCAAAAAAAAAAGTGGGTCACAACTTTCCATTTTACTCTAGAAGTAAGAATTGGAAGAGAGTCTATCCTACTTAACCTAGCATACACACACTGAAAACTATTCTGGCCTAGGGATTCAGAGCATGGTTTTGCTGTCTAGGCTTTCCTTGGCAAAACTACTTAAACTCTGTGAACCTCCCTATCTATAAAATGGGCACACTAATAGCATCTATCTTACACAGACGTTACAAAGATAAAATGGAGATAATACAATCCAAGCACAGTGCCCGGTAAGAGTAACTGGAAAACAAGTTAGTTATAATTTCACTGGCAGCTGTGCAATCGTCAATGTTAGAAATAAAACCTTACTTAAGTGGGGCACCTGGGTGGCTCAGGTGGTTAATCGTCTGCCTTTGGCTCAGGTCGTGATCCCAGGGTCCTGGTATAGAGCCCCGACATGGGGCTCATGGGGTTCAACAGGGAACCTACTTTTCCCTCTTCCTCCGCCTGCCACTCTGCCTACTTGTGCTCTCTCTCTCTCAAATAAGTAAAATCTTTTAAAAAACAGAAACAAAAACAAAAACCCTTACCTAGATCAAAGATTGTTGCACTATCATTTGTGGACCTTTGGAGGTCCCCGAGACTATTTGAGGGGAGTCTATGAGGCCAAAACTATATTTATAATAATTATAGGACATTATTTGCCTTTTTCACTACAATGGCATTTACAGGGATGGTGCAAAAATGCTGGGTAAACTGTCGGCACCTCAGCATGAAGGAAGACAGCAGCACCAAACTGTACTAGCAGGAGTATATTTTCATTATACGTCCAAAAAAAAATCTAGTTTCATTTATCCTTGATGAAACAGAAAAATGATCAATTTTATTAAATCTCAGGTCTTGAGTACCTGTCTTTTTTTTTTTTTTAAAGATTCTATTTATTTGTTTGAGAGAGAGTGAGAGCATGAGCAGGGGAGGGGCAGAGGGAGAAGCAGGCTCCGCAGTGACCAAGGTGCCCAACAGGACCTGAGGCAGACGCTTAACCGACTGAGCCACCCAGGGGCCTCAAATACATGCCTTTTTAATATCCCTGTGGGATAAACTGGCAGTACGTATAAAGCAGTTGGGCTATATACCGAAGTAGATGGCTGTCGGGAGGAAAAGCACTTGTGAGGCTGTCAGAGCTAGAGCTGAGCTAGCTTCTTTATCCATGAACACCATTTGTATTTGAAAGAACTGACAGACAAATTATGGTTATTCAGACTTGGTTATTTGACAGACATTTTCTCAAAAAAGAACTTCAAGGAAAACAGTATTTTTGGCCAATAATAAAATTCAAGCTCTCAAGTGAAAATTAGAATTTTAGAAAATGTGCATCAGCTACCATGAGCCTGACGGCAGCTTCCTAATACTTAAAGACTGTGATGAAATTAGTAGCGTTATTAATTCATTTTTAATATTGCATAATGAAATGTCTCAACATTTGGAACAGCTGCATAACTCAGTGAACCAATGTTTTCTAAATGACCAATACAAGCATAAGTTAAAGATCCAGTCAAAATGCAAAAGAGAGAGGAGCACCTGGGTGGCTCAGTGGGTTAAAGCCTCTGCCTTTGACTCAGGTCATGATCTCAGGGTCCTGGCATCGGGCTCTCTGCTCAGCGGGGAGCCTGCTTCTCCCTCTCTCTCTGCCTGCCTCTCTGCCTACTTGTGATCTCTATCAAATAAATAAATAAAATCTTTAAAAAAAAAAAAAACAAAAGAGACCAATGGATTTTAATGCAAGAGTATGAAATGTTCACCATTGCAAATGACCTTTTCAAAACTATATCTTGTCAAGTTTTAGTGTAGTACCAAATATCCAGAATTATCCGAAAATACCATTAAAGTACTCTTCATGTTCCCAAATACATTTCTATGTGAGTCCAGATTTTCTTATATATGTCAATCAAAACAACATACTGCAACAGACTGAACAGAGAAGCAGATCGGAGAACACAGCGGTCTATTCTATTACTGAAACTTACAAAAACATAAAACAATGCCTACCTTCTCACTAAATATTTTTGGTTTGGGAAACAGATTTCTCATGAAAAATGTTATTTACATAAACAAAAAATATCTTATTTCTATTTTTAATGAACTATCAAATGTTAAATTTTGCAGTTTTAACTTCTAATAAGGTAAATATTGATAACTATAACCCATATAAAGAAAGGCTCTTTGGTACCTTCAGTAATTTTTAAGAAATGAAAGTGATTATATGCCCAAAAAGCTTGAGAACTACTACCTTATCATTCACTGTTTTTTGTTCACAAAACTGAAAAGTAATCTACCCCATATACAGCAGCCCTACAACATAGTGAAATGTCTGGATAGTTATAGCTTATAACACAAAGTGAACGATCCATACCAGATATCGAACTCCAACCTGGCAGAAATGTTTTGGGATGTCCTAAAGGAACAACGTGCCCCTAACTTTTTAAGGTAAGGTCATTAGTATGCTTATTTAGGCATATGTCAAGTATCTGAAAGACAAATCTGGCCCAAACACACACAACACCTGATCCTATTGTCTTTTCCTGCCTTTCTCCATTCACTTCCAATTGAATTGAGATAGGAGATAATTGAGATTATCAATTTGAATTGAGATAACTGAAACCTTACAAGTGATCCTCTACAAAAAGCAAATCAATTTGGGGGCTTGCCTAGAGACTTTGATCTTATCTAGAGGGTTTTTGGTTCAGTATGAGTTCTGTTCTATCCTGCCTTAATAAAAAGATCACAAAAACAAACTTCCAATTCAAGTTTGGTTCCTCTGCTCACTGAAGACCTTGACTAGACTAATAAATGGTGTTAACATTGGAAATGGCTCTAGACGCCTAGGCTAGCCTCAGAAATAACCTGGGTTGCAGACCGAGAATCCCTAGCATGATCTAAGTGTGATAGTAACACTAGTAAAAAACAGTGAACATTTGTTGATGTGTGTTTTGATGATGTCCGCATGTGCTAAGCACTGTTCTAAGATTCATGTAAATTAACTTAATCCTAATAATCCTACAGAGTTTATATAGTTATCCCCATTTTGTCCTGGTATCCACTAGACCTGCATTGTGTCACTTTTACAACCACCATCCTAAAATGCCATCCTTCCCACCTCCTATAACCCGAAAAACATGAAGAAAGCACTGAGCTCATAAAAACTAGATTGCTATAATCAATATCTACCATCTAAGTAACTCAATAATTATCAGATTAACATCTGATACTTCTTCCTGCAACAAATTCCTCTTTTAAGATATTAGCTACCTATTTTTTAAAAAAAGAAAGAATTGACACATTCTACAATAATAAGATCTCAAAGAAAAGGAATCAAAACTTGTTGAACTTCTAGGAATGCTTTTAGGAACTTCTTCATGGAAGCAAAGAAGCATTACAGAAACATACCTGTTGGAGCCATCTTTCATATGGACTTTGGCATAAAGAACGTCCACCATGCCAGGATCATCGTTCATGTATTCTATCCCTGCCATCTCTACTTCTAAGGGTTTGCCCCCAGAAATGTCACTGCAAAGGGAAAAACATTAGATTTTTCTAATTGTTTAATCTGAAAGGGCCATTTTAAACATGGTTATTATACAGAGTCAAATATTACAAAAATGAAATTGTTGGGATTTTTTACTAACAGTATTATCTAACCATCCTTCTAATTTCAAAATTAACACATTCTATGCACACCAACTAGAAACACAAGTATTTCCAAAGTCACACTACAGTTATGTCAATACCAGTTTATTATACTCAGAGGAAAAAAGCCAAGGAATGACAGCTCTGATTGACAAAGACATTGTTGCTCATCTCTTGGGTTTTATTTCATTATTTCTACAAGCTGCAAACACCATTTTACTCATCTAACAATGATGGAAGCATAAAGTAGTACTAATCTTTAACAGAAATTTGGCAATATTTATAAAAAGCCTTCAAGAATAGAAACCCTTTTTTGTCTAAGCAATTCAATTTCTAGGAGCAAAACCTAAGGAAATAATTATGAATTCAGCTACATATCCAACCATAGCTGATAAAGGAAAGCTCTTTACAGAAGAATTCCAACTGACAAATACAGAAGAATTCCAAGTGATAGATGCAGAAGTAATGATGAAATTATAATATCACCATTTTGCAACCCCTGACAAAATAATGGATGGAGACAATGATTAGCAACGGCTTCTAGAACTTAACAGCAGAAGGTTGGAGAAAATATAAAGAGATCCTTATGGAGGGCTGACCACACCTGAACCCACTGATCAGGCTTAACACACATACAAAAAAGAACCAGACAATACATACTTCCTGATATGATGTAATAGGTCATACTCATACTCATGAAAAATAATTTATGCATAGGGTTTGACTGAGGCATTGTTTGGAGCAGCCAAAGACTGGAAACAGATTAAACACTCATTAGGATTTTAATAAAATGTGCACAACAATGTGTATGCTGTATGTTACTATTTGTGCAAAAGACAGGGTAAGAAAATTTATATACACATATACATTTATATACATTTATATACACATATACATTTCCTTGTACATACATAAAACCTCTGGAAGGATACAAAGAAGCTGCTAAAATCTCTTGCCTTTAGACAGGAGAGCAGGGTGCTTGGTAGGAATAGCAGTGGAAAAGAAACTCTTCACAGCATATCCTTTGTATCTTTAAAATTTTGAACCATATAAATGTATTATCCATTAAAAAGTTAATATAAAAATACAGATGCAAAAGAAGTCAAACACAAGTTTATCTATTACACATATATGCAGAAGAAGTCAAACACAAAAATGTATATACTGAATGATTTTAGTTATGTGACATTCAAGAACAAGCTAAATTAATCTATGGAAATAGAAATCAGAACAACAATTATTTCTGGAAGAAGTGAATTTACCGGAAAAGGTCATGAAGGAACTTCACAGAGTGATGACAATATACAACATTTTGATCTGGCTGAAGTTACATAAGTGTATGCATTTGTTAAAATTCATCAACTACACTTAAGATCTGTGCATTTTGCTGTAAGTCAATTACACCTTAAAGAAAAAATACACACATGCATATAAAAAAGTGTGAGAGCATTAATAGTAATTATCTTTAGGTAATAAGATTAAAAGTGGTATTTTTGTTTATCTGCAACTTTGACTTTTCCAAAACTAGTATGTATTACTTTGTTTTAATTCAAGAATAACTGATATACAATATTATATTAGTTTCACGTGTGCATGTATTACTTTTGTGTTAAGTAAAACCTCACCATCCTGCTTCTTCCCAGACCCCTTACACAGACTTGTACTTCAACCAGAAATGGCTTTGCAGTGCCAAGCTGAAACCCAGCTAAAAATCAACTCACCACCACAGTCCTCTGCAAGCCCCCCAAGGCCAGGAAGTCAATCCATCTTTTCTACTCCTAGATCCCCAGCACCTGGTACTCCATAAATCTCTGGTAAACACTGAGCAGATATTCTACTCTAAAAAGAGAGGCTTTTCTGGACAATTTTGAGAAGAATGTGGACACATCCCTATAATGTCACTGAAAACCATGTGGCACTAATCAAAGGCAAAAGGATGTTGGGATCCACCAAAAGGCAATTCTCAAAAAAGCAAATCGAAGAAAGTTCTCTTGATACTGAACCAAGGCCATAGGGAAACCCTCTGGAGCCAGGAATCTTCATGGTAAAGATTCTCTTAGGGGCACCTGAGTGGCTGAGTCGGTTAAGTGTCTGCCTTTGACGCAGGTCATGATCCCAGGGTCCTGGGATTGAGCCCCAAATTGGGCTCCCCGCTCAATGGAGAGTCAGCTTCTCCCTCCCTCTCTGCCTCCCCACTACCCCGTTTGTGCTCTCTCCTCCTCAAATAAAATCTTAAAAAAAAAAAAAAAAAAGATTCCCTTAAAACTTGAAGACCATATTACTGCACAAGACCAGGATCTCTTTCAGTAAAAAACAAATTACTATTTTGGCCAGATATTCGAGAAAAATTTTTGCCTTCATCCTCTAGTAAGTGGGGTATTCCAAAACACAAGCCAAGCTCTGAACTATTACCTGAGGCCTGTAGCTTCAACCAACAACACAGTGTATCTCCATTCCAAGTAATAGCCAAAGAATTCAATATGAAAGACTGCCATTCAATCCTTTCAAAGTGTAGTCAACCAATCTTACATGAGAAAAACAGTTTAATACTAACTATACATTCCTCTGCTGATTTCAGCTCTAACCCTGCGTAGTTAGATCACCCAAAAGCATCAAACCATTGGTTTAGTTTCCCACTAAAATGTTTTTACTGGATTATGTCTAATGTTACACTCTCAAATTCTAGGGATCAATACAAGAGAGAACCACATGACCAATGTTTTTGTATCTTCTGCAAAATTCCTGTTGAAGACACTGCTCATCATCATTTTGGGTTAATATTTACATGACAAGTTTTTCTCAGACTGAGAACAAGCAAAGGATTCTCTCCTAAAAAAGTGTTATGCTGGGGCACCTGGGTGGCTCAGTGGGTTAAACCTCTGCCTTTGGCTCAGGTCATGGTCTCAGGGTCCTAGGATCGAGCCCCACATTGGGCTCTCTGCTCAGCAGGGAGCCTGCTTCCCCCTCCCCATCTGCCTGCCTCTCTGCCTACTTGTGACCTCTCTCTCTCTCTCTCTGTCAAATCAATAAATAAAATCATTTAAAAAAAAAAGTGTTATGCTCCTTTTCATCAGTTAAGAACGATGATAATCGATGTGTTTCCTTCTGGAATGTAGTTCAAGTATACCAGTGCTTGAAAACTATCGAATTCTATTGCTCAAGTACAATTATAACCTTTCCTTGGTTTTCTGGTAAACATTTTCTCCCATTCCATCTTTATGGTTTCTGAGCTCCCCGACTTTAACATTTCTTTTGTATGTATGTCCTCACTCATGAACCACCTCAAATCTTTAGAATGAGCTGGGGTACCAGGAACAACAAAAAATGAAACAATGAACAGGACCTAAAGCCTGCCCTTTAAGATCATAAACTCTTCTGACCTTCCCTAGGATTTACCAAGACAGAAATTCGGTGGTTTGCCTAATAAATGCTCTTTGTCTTGGTGACAAAACTATCCCACCCTCGACACCAGTGAGCATACTTTTCAATTAGTGACATCTGAGGTAATGATTAGGAAGCAACATTTGTCTGTGGGTGTTTTTCCTCTTCTCTCCTTGCTCTTGTCCCTTTTTACCTTATTATTTGGTGTTACCTCAGGCCTATGGGGAACACTTAGGTACAGGAAGAGTGATACTGGAATTTAAAAGTACTGCAGATTTGTCAGACTATACACTCTGAGCCACTGTGCTGTTTGTGCTCTACATCTCACAAAGAAAAGTCACAAGGGAGACATTTAAAGCTTCGGCGTTTACTGAACACTGAATAATTCATTTGGAATCGATAGAGCTACATGAGCCGTTAGCTTAAGAAGTGAAATCAAAGTTATGTTTCTGGTCAGGTAACATCCCTTAAACTTAAAAAACACCCCAAAATTTAAAACAAATATTCAACTACCCATTTCTTTAAAATATCTATATAGCAGCACAGTTTTAATTCAGTCTGAGTTGAGCCCTATTTATTTAATATCTTTTTAAAAAAAAATTGTATTTATTTATTTGAGAGAGAGAGAGGGAAAGAGAGCACAAGCAGGGGGAGAGACAGAGGGAGACAGAAGCAGACTCCCCACTGAGCAGGGAGCCTGATGTGGGACTCAATCCCAGGACCTCAGGATCATTACCTGAGCCGAAGGCAGACAGTTAAACAACAGAGCCACCCGGGCACCCCTATTTAATATCTCCACTTAAAAAGCCATCAAAGTACTACAGCATGTTATATATTAGTCTGTTCAATTGCAGTGTTTTCCTTTCTTATATTTTAATTTGGTATCTTTACATCATAAAAAGGTTCAGATTAGAAATGCCATTATTTACTGTCAGTCTTTCTAAGTATACCAAGTACAAAGGCTGAGATCAAAGAGTAAGAGTAAGGAAGGGAAAAAAGTTAAATGATAAATTTTATTCACCAAGGCTATTGTATAAGTGTGTGTGTGTGTGTGTGTGTGTCTGTGTGTGTACACATGTACTTTTTTTTAGGAAACATTTTTTCCTTTTAGCGAAACAAGGCACTTCTAGCCAATCTAAACAGCCAATCTGATTCTCACTCTCCTCAGAAATAAATTAATTTCGCACTATGTACTTTTTAAACAAGTATATGTGGCAGAGGAGAAGGTGGGAGAAGAGGGCTGGGGAGGCTTACTTTACTTGCTGGTTTTAAATCTTTCCAGCTTTTTGAAAAAACCATCTTCAAAAAAATTTCTGCCTGCACTGCAGATTTTTGGCAATGTAACTTTGTCCTATTTCAAAAGCTTTGCTGAATTTGAAAAACTACAATTACTGTTTTCATCCTGTCATGTCAAAAATTCTTAGGAACTATTAAGGCTGCTCTTCATTTCCTATGCACACCAACCCTGACATGCTTAAAGTGCTCAGATTTGGCGTTTAGTCACAAAAGGCACCAAGAGACATAAAAGGGAGGAATTCAGCTAAATCCTCCCATAACTCAGGATAAAGATTCAGTGATTAAAAACCTGTGACCTGATTTTTGTAGGTAAAAAATAAACACCTTCCTAAACAAATATCTACCTTTAAATTTCTTCTTAGCAAAATTATCCTAATGGCAGCCAAGAAAATGCAGTTTCATTTCAGTTTAACAAAAAAGTTAAGGTATCAGGACTAATGCTTAAATAGGGTAACATCGCTCCACTTTGTAAGGTAAAGCATAAAGCTTTATCTTAGGCAAGGAAGTTATAAATACTTAATTACAAATACCCAATTATTTTGAATTTTAGGTTAAGACAGGTTAGGAGAGAAACGGTTATGTCCATCAGTGAGCAAAGATCAAGACAAAGAAGTATTCTTTGCAGATTGCAAACCCAATCAGCTTATGATTTTGCTCAAGAAAAATATCTTGCCTTCAAAACAAAGAAAATATCTTGCCTTCAAAACAAAGGAAAAGGAGAACTGGCCCACATAGAAGTCATTATACTACACAGTTTCATATAAATGAAAAAAAATTTAATCCTTTTACCTTGTCTTATCCAATGAACTAGGGGACCCATTTCTACAAGGCCACATTAAAATAGTATGGGACCTGAATATTATAACTGAATTAAAAAAAAACAACACCTCTTCAAGTGAGTCAGTTTTCAAATTTCTCTTATTCTTCATCAATCTTAAGAAAAAGGGCAAAGGGTAGGGAAGAGATGATTCTTTAAAATAAAACTGTTAGGTCAGATGTACATGTAAATTAAAATTTTATAGTGAAAAGAATAACAATTCTGCCCCCAGAATAGCAATGTTTTCCCTGAACCAAAACAGTCTGCTTAGACAGTTTTTGGTATTCTTACACAACTACCTGTATTTTAAAAAGAAAATTAAAGTCTTGAAATACAATGAAGACCTTTGTAAGGAATCTTATTATATAATGTTTGAGTTACTGTGGTAATAGAATAATGGCCCTCCAGGGAGGCTCACATCTTATTTTCTGGAATTTGTAAATATGCTGCCTTACATGGCAAACAGACTTTTGCAGATGTGATTAAGGTTAAGGAATCTGAGATAGCATGATTATCCTGGATTATCTGGGAGGGCTCAATCAAATCACCAGTCCTTAAAAGCAGTGAACCGTCCCCACTATGGCCAGAGACAGAGATGAGGTAACAGAAGGGTCAGAGAGAAGGAAAGCTGCTATTGCTGAAGATGGAAGAAGGGGGTCACTAGCCAAAGAATGTGGGTGTGGCCTCTAGAAGATGGGCTTTAAAAGCAAGGAAATGAACTCTTCCTTTGAGCCCCCAGAAAGGAACACAGCCCTGCTGATTCTTTGATTTTAGCCCACTGAAACCCGTATCAGACTACCCCACAGAACTATAAGATAATGAATTTTCACTGTTCTAAGCCACCCAGCTTGCAGTAATGTGTTCACCAGCATAAGAAACTAGTACAGTACTCTATACTGTTCAGTAGGTAATGAAAAGAATTTCCTTTTGGAGAGAATAATGTGATGTCCTGCTAATAACAAAATTTGCCTACTGAATTAGTATAATTTAAGGTAGAGTCTTTCCATAAAAATTTGTAAATATATGCTTTAAACCCATTTTAACCCTTTCAGACAATGGTCCAATATTAACTGTTCAAGTGGGTGAGTCAACAGACCTTGTTGCCATGTGACAACAAGTGCAAAAACAAGTCTGTGATATCAAAGAGAAGCCAGTACAAGGGGACCACCCTTCCCCATTCCTGCAGATCACTCACTCAATGAAGTCCTCTTTACACTGCTGTAGCATCTCACATGTCTGTTGGATCTCTTGCTCACTCAAAAGCACCAACATCCCAATGGTTAGGTGAAGCTTTTTGGGATTCTGGAAAATGGTGCTGTCAACCCCATGATCCTGTTGTCAAAGACAGAAAAACAAAAACACTCAGTCCACATTAAAGAAAATGGCAGGAATAGAATTTAGAGCTCAGAGATAAGCCCAGATATCTATGACTTACTGATTTTCAAGCAGATGCCAAGACAATTTAATGGAGAAAAAACAGTCTCTTCAACAAATGGTGCTGGGACAACTGAATGACCACTCGCAAAAGAATGAAGTTGGACCCACACCTCATACCATATACAAAAATTAAATCAAAATGGATCAGTGACCTAAATAATAAAACTCATAGAAGAAAGAGATTTCTTAGGGGAAAATCTTCATAACCTTGGACTTGGCAGTGGATTCTTAAATATGAATTCAAAAGTGTGGGTAACATTAGACAAAAATAGATAAATGAGACTTCACCTAAATTTAAAGCTTTTGTCTATCAAATGAGAATATTAAGAAAGTAAAAACACGACCTAGAGAATGACAGAAATATTTGCAAATCATATATCTGATAAGAGTGTATATTCATAATATATAAAGAACACAACTCCACAACTAGAAAATAAAGAACCCAATTTTTAAAATAGAAAATGAACTTGAGGGATGCCTGGGTGGCTCAGTCAGTTAAGCATCTGACTCTTGATTTCGGCTCAGGTCATAATCTCAGGGTCATGAGATCAGGTCCCACCTTGGGCTTCATCCTGAGCATGGAGACTGCTTAAGAGTCTCTCTCTCCCTCTGCCCCTCTCCACACTCAGAAGAAAAAAGAAAAAGAAAATGAACTTGAGTAGACATTTTTCCAAAGAAAAAATACAAATGGCCAAGAAGCACATGAAGATGGTTCAACTTTATTATTCATTAGAAGAATGCAAATCAAAACCACAATAAGGTATCATTTCATATCCATTAGGCTGGCTATAATAAAAAAAGCAGAAAATAACAAATTCTGACTAGGATATGCTTAATGGGTATAGAATTTCCTTTTGGGGTGATGAAAATGTTTTAGAATAATACAGCACTGATAGTTGCACAACTCTAAATGCATAAATGCCACTGAATCATTCACTTTAAAATGGTTAATTTGGGGGTGCCTGGGTGGCTCAGTGGGTTAAAGCCTCTGCCTTCAGTTCAGGTCATGATCCCAGGGTCCTGGGATCGAGCCCCGTGTCAGGCCCTCTGCTCAGCAGGGAGCCTGCTTCCCCCACCTCTCTCTCTGCCTGCCTCTCTGCCTACTTGTGATCTCTGTCAAATAAATAAATAAAATCTTTAAAAAAAAAAACTTAAAATGGTTAATTTTGTGTTATAGGAAATTCACCTCAATAAAAGAAATTTTTTAAGAAGGAACTGGTAGCCTGATACAATGGTAAGCCCAAGAGAAACAGAATGCACTCTAAATGTAGGCTCTAAGAATATCTTTTGCTCCTTTATCAACTTTGTTGGCCCAGTAGCAACTGGGCTACTGGGAATCTTATGGGATTCCCTAAAGAACAATATACTCTCTACAAAAACGCTGTTTCTATCTTAGCAGACACTGTAGTATTTTCAGGTGAAATATTATGTGTTAAGAATAAATTCTCCCAAGCAGGGAGATGAGTGAAAAATAAATCTGGAGAGATATCCAGACACTGGAGTTGCCACATCGAATACAGTCATCCTTTTCTCAGTCAGTTAGGTGTCACCCTTCAGCTCAGGTCATGATCCCAGGGTCCTGGGATCGAGCCCTGCACTGGGCTCCCTGCTCTGTGGGGGGCCTGCTTCTCCCTCTTCCTCTCCCTGCTGCTCTGCCTACTTGTACTCCTTCTCTCTCTGTCAAATAAGTACATCTTTTTTAAAAATATAAATATACTCATAAATCTCCCTTTTTAAAAAAACTGAAGTGAAATTCACTTAATACACAGTTAACCATTCTAAAGTGTACAATTTAGTGATGTTTACTGTATTTACAATATTGTGCAACCATCAGCCCTTCTTAGTTTCCAAACTTTTTTTCATCCCATAAAAACACTTCATAATCATTAAATAATCACTCTTCATTCCCAATCACTCACCCCCTGGTAACCTCTAATTTGCTTTTTGCCTCTTTGGATTTGCCTATCCCAGATATAGTATATAAAAGGAATCATACAATATATGACTGCTGTGTCTGGCTTTTTTCACTTAGCATGTATTCAAAGCTCATTCAAATTTTACCACGTACTAGTACTTCATTCCTTTTTATGGCTGAATTATATTCCACTTTATGTATATAACATAAGTTGTTTATTCATTCATCCCTTAATGGCCATTTGGGTTGTTTCCATCTTACGGCTATTATGAATAATGCTGCTATAAACATTCATGTACAAGTTTCTGTGTTACCATGTTTTCAGTTCTTTTGGGTATAAACCTAAGAGTGGAACTGCTGGGTCATATAGTAATTCTAATGCTTAATCTTTTGAGGAACCACCAAACTGTTTGCCACAACAGCTGAATCGTTTTACATTCTTAGCAGCACTGTAGAAGGGTTCCTATTTCTCTCCACCTTTGCCATCATTTACCATTTTTCTTTTAAAATTTTATTATAGCCACCCTAGTGGGTATGAAATAGTATTTCATTGTATTTTGATTTGCATTTCCCTGTTGACCTATGATGTTGAATATCTTCTCACGTCCTTGCTGGACACCCTCTCTGGAGAAACTGCTATACAATTTCTTTGTCCATTTCCTATTTTTTTTATTGTTGAGTTATATGAATTCTTTAAATATCCTGATACTAGTCCCATGTCAGATCATGAATCCCTTTTGAAGGTAAACAGGTCTCAAGTTTCATTATATTCACCCTGCAAATGAAGACAAGAAAAAGAGTCGAGAATCTTCTCCCCCCAACAAGAGCAAAGCAGGAATTCTATCTCTGAATTGTAAGTTCTGATCCCATAATCTGATTCTTGGGCTAATAAACCACCCCAAAGGCAGAGAAATATGTCTATCAAACACAGATAGCTTACATTCTGTTCTTGGCTTGCCTAAGACTGCCTAATTTTTGCCTCGGCAATGGGAGTTAATAGATTATTCATTTTCTAAGTGTTAATGGAGCTTGAGCTATTTTTATATCTGATGAAGAGTTTTGTGATTCTACACATCAACCCAAATTGCCTCATTTAATGAAAGTGATTTTAAGGAACAATCAGCTTTAAATGTGTCAAGGAAGGCTAAGCGTAATGTTTATCACCCCAGCTGCTCTAACCCACGGTAGAACCTGTCACTTTAGAAAGGCATGCAAAGTGTTAAAAAGTCCCCAAATGTTTCCAATATGCACAACTCCATCCCAAACTACAGTTGAGAATTGCTCCCCTACTAATAAGAGCTAATATTTTTTTAACCCTTATTCTGTTCCAGGCATCTCCTATGCACTTTACATAGAAAACTGCCTATGAAGAGAGATATTATCCCCATTTTACAGATGAGGAAACTGAGGCACAGAGAAATAAAATCACTTTCCCAAACTAACACTGCTAGTAAAGGGATGAAGCCAAAATTCAAACCCAAGCAGTCAGGCCACAGAGCCTACACTTTTGATCAATATATATTGCCTCACTTGTAACAGCCACCTAGAGGAGGATAGAACAAATGCGATCATCACCCAGAGGCAAGTCTTTACACATTTCAATAAAGCTCACACAGAGAATAAAGGAAATCTCATAATTCTCTGAAAGTGATATTTGCCTTTCCTCAATGTGACACCATAAAAGCATGATCTATAAAAGAAAAAAAAAGGATGAATTAAACTTTATCAAAATTTAAAACTTTCACTTCAAAAGACCCCATTAAGAAAATGAAAAGACAAGCCACAGAGAAAAATACTTGGGAGAAAAATATTTACAAATCACCTATCTGGGGACGCCTGGGTGGCTCAGTGGGTTAAAGCCTCTGCCTTCGGCTCGGGTCATGATCTCAGGGTCCTGGGATCGAGCCTGGCATCGGGCTCTCTGCTCAGCAGGGAGCCTGCTTCCCTTCCTCTCTCTCTGCCTGCCTCTCTGCCTACTTGTGATCTCTGTCAAATGAATAAATAAAACCTTTTAAAAATAATAATAAAATAAAATTGAATTAAAATTAAAACAAAACAAAAACAACAAATCATTTATCTAATATAAATATATAAAAATTCTTAAAATTCCACAATAAAAAGATATGTAATTCCATTTAAAAATGACCAAAGAAACTGAATAGATATTTCACCAAAGAAGATATACTAATGACTAAGAAACATGTGAAAAGATGCTAATATCATTAGTCATCAAGGAAATGCACATCAAAACCAAAATGAGATATTGCTTCACGCCCCATCAGAATGACTATAATCAAAAAGACAGACAATAAGGACCTGGGGAAACTGAACTGCTCACACATTGCTGGGGTAAAAGGCCATGATATAAACAATGCATTCTACACTGGTTCAGAAAGAAAGAAGAGAGGAAGAATGATAAAACAGAGTAAAATACTAACAATAGGTAAATATGAGTAAAGGATGCTATCCTTAGTCTTACAACTTTTCCATGAGTTTAAAATTATTAGCATCCTAAAAAAAAAAAAAAAAAATTATTAGCATCCTATTGTTGCTGTAACAAATTACCACAAATTTCATGGTTTAAAACAACACAGATTTACTGTCTTACTACCTAGCAAAAGAAAGCTCTTTTCCTTCCTTACCTTATTCTTTGAGAGCCTCTCACTTCAGTCAACCTGAGTTCACTTGCCAAGAAAACACTGAATACTGGGAAACAAAACACAGAGAACACAAAGGAGCAGGAAAAAGAACAGATGGGATAACTTAAGGCCACACAAACTGAATTCTTTTGGAGACCCTTGAGTCATAAGCCTTCAGTCTTTATCTGTATTGGAAGTTATATAACTTACATGTGATCCTACTGGACAGTCTTTTAATAAATGGAGAAACACCCTGAATTTTAGCAATGCCATCTATGAAGAAAGCCTTTTCTCTTACTGAATTATCTAAATTTACTGTGGAACCAAACAATCTTCAAGAC